AGAGAGAATCACGGGTCAGCTGCCTCCTGCATGCCCCCTACTGGGGATCGAGCCCACAACCCAGGCCTGCACCCTGACCGGGAATCGAACCCTGACCTCCTGGTTCATAGGTCGACGCTCAGCCACTGAGCCACGCCGGCGGGCAACCCACTGGCAATCATGAGTTGCCTCCAGTGAGCCTGGCCCGTGTCCTTCCTGGGGCCTGGCCGTTCCCATCTGCTGGCCGCTGCTGGGAGCGACCCAGAGCTGTGGGTGCCAAACACGGCTCGGGGGGCGCCCATCAGACTCTTCCCAGCAGTCGGCAAGGAGCCAGGCCCTGACTGTGGGTCCACACGGAGCCGTGACCGATGGGGCCACCTGCACTGGCCACGTGTGGCCGCATTCCAGGCAGCGCGTGGCCGTGTTGTTTCTGGGGGTCACCCACCTCCGGGGACTGAAGGTGCCGGCCACTCAGTTCTGGGCGCCCCCCCCCCCGTCTCACCCACGGGGCCTGCAGTGAGGGGGTCAGAGCAGGTCCCCAGGGCGAGCGCTTGGCATGAGGGTCACTTTTGATGTTGTTGATCCTCACCCGAGGCTAGATTTCCGTTTATTTTTAGAGAGAGTAGACGGGAGGGGGAGAGAGAGAAACATCGATGTGAGAGGCGCATCGATTGGCTGCCTCCTACATGCACCCCAATTGGGGCTGGGGGTGGACCTGCAACCGAGGTCTGTGCCCCCGACTGGAATCGAACCCATGACCCGTCAGTCCTTGGGCCGGTGCTCTAACCACAGAGCCACACTGGCTGGGGCTGGCCTGAGGGTCATTCTGACCTAAAAGCAATGGGGACCTTTCAGGCTCCAGAGAAACGTCTGCCCCCCTCACCCCACTTACCACCTGGAGGTTTAAATGAAGGGCTTTGCCCACGATAAGATTTATGACCAGAGATAAGGCTTTGTGCCCTGTCCACGTGGCAGGTAAACACGTAATTACAGGGCCTGTCCTGCTGATGACCCCTCTCTCCGAGGCCAGGGCCCTCCCGCGCCCTCGCCCAGGTCACAGGTGCCTCATTTAA